GGTTTGTACTTGAGGTACAGTTGATGTGTACCTCAGGTAGACAAAGCCTATCGTAAGTTTTGATGGTAATACACATCAATATTCATCAGAGTTGAGTGTATGTAAGTTGCATTGGTCTGTACTTGAGGGGCAAATGATGTGTACTTCATGTAGACAATGCCTGTCCAAAGTTTTGATGATAATATTCATTAATATTCATTATATCTGGGTGTATGTAGATTGAATTTGTCTGCACTTGAAGTACTGTTGATGTGTACAACAAGTGGACAAATCCATTCGAAAGTTGCAATGGTAACACACATTAGTATGCATTTGGGTTGGTTGTATGTAGATTCAATCGGTCTGTACTTGAGGTATAGTTGATGTGTATCTCAAGTAGACAAAGCCTGTCGAAAGTTTTGGTGCTAATACACATCAATATTCATTGTTGGGTGTATGTAGATTGAATTGGTCTGTACTTGAGGTACAGTTGATGTGTACGTCGAAGCCGGTCGAATGTTTTGATTGTAATACACATTATTGTTCCTTGGATTTTGTTTCATGTAAATATAGTACGTCTGTACTTGCGATTCAGTTGATTTCACGTCAAGTAGATAAAACAGTCAAAATTGTTGTTAATAATAGACATGCTTGTTCATTAGGTTCGAGTGTAAGAAAATTGATTTGGTCCGTACTTGAGGTACAAATGATGTGTACTTCACGTAGACAAAGCCTGTCCAAATTTTTGATGTTAATATACATTAATATTCATTATATTTGGATGTATGTAGATTGAATTGTTCTGTACTTGAGGTGCAGTTGATGTGTACTTCATGTAGAAAAAGCATGTCCAAAGTTTTGATGGTAAAATACATTAATATTCATTATATTTAGGTGTATCTAGATTAAATTGTTCTGTACTAGAGGACAATATTTATCAGAGTTGGGTTTATTTAAGTTGCATTGGTCTGTACTAGAGGTACATTTGATGTGTACCTCAAGTAGCCAAAGCCTGTCGAAAGTTTTGATGGTAATAGACATCAATATTCATCAGCGTTGGCTGTATGTAAATTGATTTGGTCTGTACTAGAGGTACAGTTGATGTGTACCTCAAATAGACAAAGTCTGTCGAAAGTTTTGATGGTAATAGACATCAATATTCATCAGAGTTGGATGTATGTAAGTTGCATTAATCTGTACCTGAAGTGCAGTTGGTGTGAACCTGAAGTAGACAAAGTTTGTCGAAAGTTTTGATGGGAATACATATCAATATTCATCAGAGTTGGGTGTATGTAAGATGCATTTTTGTCTGTACTAGAGGTACATTTGATATGTACCTCAAGTAGACAAAGCCTGTCGAAAGTTTTGATGGTAATACATATCAATATTCATCAGAGTTTGGTGTAGGTAACTTGCATTGGTCTGTACGTGAGGTGCAATTGATGTGTACCTCAAGTAGACACATCAATATTCATCAGAGTTGGCTGTATGTAGATTGAAATGATCTGTACTACAGGTACACTTGATGTGTACTGCAAATAGACAAAGCCTGTCGAAAATTTAGATGGGAATACACATCAATATTCATCAGAGTTGGGTGTATGTAAGTTGCATTGATCCGTACCTGAGGTACAGTTGATGTGTACCTCAAGTAGACAAAGTTTGTCCAAAGGTTTGATGGGAATACATATCAATATTCATCAGCGTTGGGTGTATGTAAGTTGCATTGGTCTGTACGTGAGGTGCATTTGATGTGTACCTCAAGTAGACAAAGCCTGTCGAAAGTTTTGATGGTAATACATATCAATATTCATCAGAGTTTGGTGTAGGTAACTTGCATTGGTCTGTACGTGAGGTGCAATTGATGTGTACCTCAAGTAGACACATCAATATTCATCAGAGTTGGCTGTATGTAAATATTTGGTCTGTACTAGAGGTACAGTTGATGTGTACCTCAAGTAGACAAAGCCTATCGAAAGTCTTGATGGTATTACAGATCAATATTCATCGGAGTTGGGTGTATGTAGATTTAAATGGTCTGTACTATAGGTAAAGTTGATGTGTACCACAAATAGACAAAGCCTGTCTAAAATTTGGATGGGAATACATATCAATATTCATCAGCGTTGGGTGTATTTAAGTTGCATTGGTCTGTTCTAAAGGTACATTTGATGTGTACCTCAAGTAGACAAAGCCTGTCGAAAGTTTTGATGGTAATACATATCAATATTCATCACAGTTTGGTGTATGTAAGTTGCATTGGTCTGTACTTGAGGTGCAGTTGATGTGTACCTCAAGTAGACAAAGCCTGTCGAAAGTTTGGATGGGAATACACATCAATATTCATCAGAGTTGGGTGTATGTAAGTTGCATTGGTATGTACCTGAAGTAGACCAAGACTTAAGAAAGTTTAAATGGTAACGCACATTAGTAATCACCAGTGTTGGTTATATGTAGATTCAATCGGTCTGTACTTGAGTTAAAGTTGATGAGTACGTCGAGTAAACAAAGCCTGTCGAAATTTTTGATTGTAATACTAGTACACATTAATGTTTTTTATGTTTTTGTTTATGTAATCATTGTTGGTCTGTACCGGATGCTCAGTTGATTTGTTCGTCAAGTAGAAAAAGCATCTCCAAAGTTTTGATGTTAATATACATTAATATTCATTATATTTTGGTGTATGTAGATTGAATTGTTCTGTACTTGAGGTGCAGTAGATGTACTACTCAAGTAGACAAAGCCTGTCCAAAGTTTTGATGATAAAACACATCAATATTCATCGGAAGTGGGAGTATGTAGATTGGATTGGTCTGTACTGTTGGTACAGTTGATGTGTAACTCAAGTAGACAACTCCTTTCGAGAGTTGTAATGATAACACACATTAGTATTCATTAGGGTTGGTTGTAAGTAGATTAAATAGGTCTGTACTTGAGGTAAAGTTGATGTGTACCTCAAGTAGACAAAGCCTGTCGAAAATTTTCATGGTAATACACATCAATATTTATCAGAGTTGGGTGTTTGTAGATTGAATTGGTCTGTACTTGATGTGCAGTTGATGTGTACTTCATGTAGACAAAGCATGTCCAAAGTTTTGATGGTAAAATACATTAATATTCATTATATTTGGGTGTGTCTATATTGAATTGTTCTGTACTTGATGTCAATATTTATCAGACGACTTGGGTGTATGTAAGTTGCATTGGTCTGTACTAGAGGTACATTTGATGTGGACCTCAAGTAGACAAAGCCTGTCGAAAGTTTTGATGGTAATACACATCAATATTCATAAGAGTTGGGTGTATTTAATTGCATTGGTCTGTACATGAGGTGCAGTTGATGTGTACCTCAAGTAGACAAAGCTTGCCGGAAGTTTTGATGGTAATACAAATCAATATTTATCAGAGTTGGGTGTTTGTAAGTTGCATTGGTGTGTACATGACTCTTGAACTCATATAATATAAAAACCATTGTCTGAACCACATTTCCGTTAGACCATCGGACTTTAGTGTGATATCTGATCGCACTTAAACACAAACAACCATCGCACTTTAGCGTGACCATCGAACTTAAGCGTGACCATTGCACTTTAGAGTCCAACATACATATAAGCTATTGCTTATAGCATCTTAGAAATAGACTTAATGTAGTTCAGGGGTATAGAAAAATAAAATGCTCCGCAGGGCGCAGCTTGATACGACCGCAGAGGTCGAACCCAGAACAGTTGGGGCAAGTATGGACACAACATTCAAGCTTGATACAGCTCTGAATTTGGATTGTGATTAAATATTTGACACAGCATAGGTTTCTGACACAGAATGAATGTGGTCTAAGAACTTAAAAATTTTAAATTGGACATTCACCTATTATGGTCCAATATCCAAAATCTAAATACATGGTTAGATTCAGCATATCATAGAACCCCAAGAATTCAATTTTTGATGAAATCAAACAAAGTTTAATTTTGGACCCTTTTGACCTCAATGTGGACAAAGTTGATAACGGGGCCCAAAAATCTAAATACATGGTTAGATTCAGCATATCAAAGAACCCCATATATTCAATTTTTGTTGAAATCAAACAAAGTTTAATTTTGGACCCCGATTTGGACCAACTTGAAAACTGGGCCCATAATCAAAAATCTAAATACATGTTTAGATTCAGCATATCAAAGAACACTAAAAATTCAATTTTTGTTAAAATCAAACTAAGTTTAATTTTGGACCCTTTGGACCTTAATGTAGACCAATTTGAAAACGGAACCAAAAATTAAGAATCTAAATACACAGTTAGATTCGGCATATCAAAGAACCCCAATGATTCAATTTTTGATGAAATCAAACAAAGTTAAATTTTGGACCCTTTGGACCTCAATGTGGACCAATTTAAAAACGGGGCCCAAAATCCAAAAACTTAATACACGGTTATATTCAGCATATTAAAGAACCCCAAGAATTCAAGAATAAAACCCCATTGAAATTGATCAAGAAATAAGCAATTTATAAGAAGTATCTTCTTTTGTACAATACTGTGCAATTGAATATTTCTTGCTATTGCGCAATACTGTACAATTGACAATTTCTTGCTATTGCGCAATATTGTCCTATTGGATATTTCTTGCTATTGCGCAATACTGTGCAATTGAAGATTTCTTGCTATTGTGCAATACTGTGCAATTGAAAATTTCTTGCTATTGCACAATACTTATTATATAAAAATTTACACATCCTGTTTGGTGTGTATCTCCTACCATATCATTATTATTTGCTTTTAAATATAAATCAGAAATAACCAACTTAAAATGGAAAATTTAAAAAAAAAAAAAAAAAAGGAAAAAAAGAAAGAAAACCCCCCAACCCCCCCCAACCCCCCCCCCCCCCCCCCCCAACCCCCCAAATTTGTTTTAACCCCCTTATGATTCATCACCCCCAAACTCAATCCCAGCCTTCCCTTTGTGTAATGGTACCTTGCAGTACAATTTCAGAGAGATCCATACACTTGAACACAAGTTATTGTCTTGAAACTAGAAAAATGCTTATTTTTGGCCCCTTTTTGGCCCCCAATTCCTAAACGTTTCAGGCAATTACCCCCGAACTCAATTCCAGCTTTCCCTTTGTGATATGAAACCTTGTAGTACAATTTCAGAAATATCCAAACACTTACACACAAGTTATTGTCATGAAACTAGAAAAATGCTTGTTTTTTGCCCCTTTTTTGGCCCCTAATTCCTAAAATTTTGAGGCAATTACCCCCAAAATCAATTACAGCCTTCCCTTTGTGATATGGAACCTTGTGGTACAATGTCAGAGAGATCCATACACTTACACACAAGTTATTGTCTGAAAGTTACAAAAATGCTTATTTTTGGCCCCTTTTTGGCCCCTAATTCCTTAACTGTTGGTACCATTGGAGATCCATTCACTTAAACTAAAGTTAGAGTGCGAAAACCAATGTGTCTTCGGACGACGACGACGACGACGACGCCAACGTCATACCAATATACGACCAAAAAAATTTTAATTTTTGCGGTCGTATAAAAATGACAGAATTTTCTTATACTTTGTGAACTTAAATTTTGTAGCATGGTAATTGAAAAAATCCAAAAAAAAATTGGGGGTCACCAGCCATCTAAGAGATTTTTTGACCTCTGAAAATGAGTGCAAATAGGCTATATGGATATATAGGGAAAATGGACATAAAGCCTCTTTGATTGAATTTTCACAGCAAACAAAAAGACAGACGTTGCTCATTTTTTCATACTGAAAAGTTTGATGTCTCTATTTTATGAAATTGGAATAAAATTTGGGGGTCACCGGCCATCCAAGAGATTTTGTTACCTCTACAAATGAGTGCAAAAAAGGCTAAATATAGGAAAAATGGACATAAAACCTCTTTGATTGAATTTTCACAGCAAACAAAATGACAGAAGTTGCTCATTTTTTCATACGGAAAAGCTTGATGTCTCTATTTTATGAAATTGGAATAAAATTTGGGGGTCACCGGCCATCCAAGAGATATTTTGACCTGTGAAAATGAGTGCAAAAAGGCTAGATATATGGAAAATGGACATAAAACCTCTTTGATTGAATTTTCACAGCAAACAAAAATGACAGAAGTTGCTCATTTTTTCATACTATAAAGCGTGATGTCTCTATTTTACGAAATTGGAAAATATTTGGTGGTCACCGGCCATCCAAGAGATTTTTTGGCCTCGGTAAATGAGTGCAAAAAGGCTAAATATAGGGAAAATGGACATAAAACCTCTTTCATTAAATTTTCACAGCAAACAAAATGACATAAGTTGCTCATTTTTTCATACTGAAAAGCTTGAAGTCTCTTTTTTATAAAATTGGAATTAAATTTTGGGGTCACCGGCCATTCAAGAGATTTTTTGACCTCTGAAAATGGGTACAAATAGGCTAATTTCTGAATGGATATAGGGGAAATTGGAAAAAACCTCTCTTTTTGAATATTCACAGGAAAAAAATGACAGAAGTTGCTAATTTTTATGCCCCATCGTAGCTGAGGGGGCATTGAATTTTACCCTTGTCCGTATGTAAGTCTGTTCGTCCGTATGAACGTCCCAGATTTGATTTCCGTTCTCCAGCTTTTATTTGCCTCAACCAAATGTTATGAAACTTTATCAAAATGATTTTACCACACAACACACACCAAGTTTTAATTTTGTTGGTGTCACTTTAACCGTTCTAGAGTTATGCCCCTTTACAAATTGAAAAATTGCTGAATTTTTCCTTTCCTTTCTCTAACTTTAGTTTGCTTTTACCAAATGTTATGATTGATATCTTGCAGTTTCCTTCGCATTTTCTTATCAAACTTTGAAGTATTATTAAGTATCATGTGCAGATTAGATTTCGGTGTAAATAGGCTGTGTTTGCTTAATATATAAGACTCATTTCTAGAGGAGCACCAACATAAAATATTATGTAAAGGAAACATGGCATTTTCTGTTTATTTTCTTATTATGATATGAGTTCGAATGTCCCATTAGTATGGTTAATCTTTCTTTTATCACACATTAAAGATTCATATAAATGTGAGCTATTGTTCTTGTTTTCTTTTCATTTCTTTTTAATATTAAAAAAATACATTCCGAATAAATTTGACAAAAAATAGACTTACCATCACTACCACACATAATCAGCACAGTAAGTGCCCCCCTTTTTCCACTCCATTTGATTATCCAGTATTATGTGGTGATTATAATTATAATTGTTTTTCTTTTTGTGTGTTACCGAGTTGATTTAGGGAATTAACATGACTAAGCATATTTCTTGATAGAAGTGAAACAACAACATGTGATCTAATACATTTATTTTATTTTCAATGGATATCTGTTCTTACGTTTGTTTGTACATATATAATTAAATAAAGATGCCAAATAAATAACATGTTTTTCTCAGTTAGAAATACTGTTTGTAGTAGCTAGGTTAAATAATTTCACTGAATAAAATTTGCAAAAGCCTTGCTAATAATATAAATTTTTAAAAACATTAAGACATTTTGCTTTGGACTTCAACATGACAAATTCTAGATTTAACCCTAATTTGGTTTATTATACAATTATTTGCAAAATGTAGATCATAATGAATATGTGTAAAATTTCATTAACTATGTTCAGCACAAACATTGACCTAACCAATAAGTGAATACATGTATCATCATGTAAACATCAAATAGTCATGATTGAAGTCATCAAAATAGTGTTTGTTTGAATATATTTGCCGTAACTTGTATAAGTCTTTCTGATATCATTTTATCCCATATTCAATCTTTTAAAGATGGAGATCTCCTTCTTTCCCATCCACAGAGGTAGGAGTATAATTATGCCAGACATCTCATTCAAAATTTTACTTTTTGAATATACAGTATTTTGATACTTCTGTACAAACAGATGAAAGTATGTTATCTATAAATAGATTTTTTAAAGTTCCAACAGCAATAACATTTCTAAATAACATTGGATGTCTTTTTACTAATATAAACACCTGAGAGACTACAATTGTTCCTACTGCTTTTTTATAATTGTTAAGCTATTTTCCAAAAATTTCTATATACTTGTTCTAATTGCCTGTACAAGCAATAAAAAAAATCCACCAAAATATATATAAAAAAACACAGAAAAGACTAAGATTTATAGAACTGTTAACTCAACATATTTTGAAACTCTTATCTCAAGTTGAACTTTTTTTCAAGAAACTGTACAGTCAAAATTTATCATACTATGTTCATACAGTCTATCTTTATGATCAAAATTTGGGTTATAGCTGGATAGATTACTTCACTGGATTATGTATGCATTAAAAACTCAAATGCATCTCCTCCAGTAAGAAATGGTTTTCCAATCAACAATAAATTATTACACAAACTTAAAAAAATTGATATCTAAAAAAATTCAAGGTTCATATAAAGTTGTATAACTATCAAAACTATTTGGTTTATATCATGAAGATATGTCTACAATACATTTACAAATATTACAGCAGGGCTCACACTACCATTTACACTAATTTACAGTACACATTAATGTTTATCTCTGATCATGAATTTCAACAAAAGGTTAGTTAAGGTAAAGTTCTGCATAACAACGATCAATTTTCTAATTCTTATCATACAGGAGGAATAATATTTTACGTTAAAACTTCATGACCTCCCATGTAACTGTATCATATGCTCTTAAAGTATTACCACTGACTGACTACCTTAACAAACATATTTTTCCTTTACTTGTGACTAATTAGATACTCATATACTCTTTGTATAATTATTTTGTTTGATGTCACTCTAACTACCCCAGTTGAAGACTTTTCTGTCATTAAGGCTTTGAGTCCTGCCATGTCATTTCGTTGTACTGCTAATTGGAAATGTTGAAACCTTAGGTTATACCTTTTGGTCTTTAGTGCCATAGCTTTTGACAGACATTTTGATTGAACTAGCTCTTCAAAAGTTTTCAAGTTGGCCAATTGCATCTGGTATAACTGAGGGTAGCTAGGTGAAAAAGCAAGTTCACTAATAAATTGAGAAACATTACCTTTCTCAGTGACTAAATTAAAAAGTAATTTTGTGTCATACACAGCATTATGAGATTCATACTGTTGACTAATAGTTTATCAACGAGAAAAGACTGGCTATAAGATGACAAGCCAGGTGAAACGAGTTTAAACAAATTCAAAGAGTCTAAAAATGCAACAGTTCTTGCACATAGTTCACTGTACATATTCATAGATTTTAAGGTATGAAATAAAACATGGCAGTCAAATCGTTTTATATTATGTCCTATCAATACAGGTTTATCTGTGAAACTTGACAAATACAAATAAGTTAAAAATCAGTCATTCTTTCATGTTTATGCTTATAAACAACAGCATTACCATTGTAATACATTTTTTGTCCTACAATAGTGATTTTTGTTATTTCTGATGCTTCTCTTGAAATTTGTTGGTCTGGAAATATATATCGACTGAAGGAACTGTCTTTGGTGCATGCAGCTATCTGGGTTATATCAGAATATATACCTGAAGTTAAACATTTTGTTTATTATTGTGCATCTAAACTGTAAAAGGTATTTCGAAAAAGCAATTAATTGTCAAAAAATTATAAACAGGACTAAGTCTTCTATCCCCCTCATTTGAACTTTCGTTGATGGTCTTATTGGCAATTATACCACATCTCCTTATTTCATATCTCTCTTCATTGAAATAACTAAAAAAAAAAAGATTAGCTCCACTGGTCTGTAAATATTTTTCTAAAATTATCATCTTTGTATTTTATCTCACTTCCAAAATAAGGTAGATGCAAAGTGTAAATTGCTAAAAAAAATGAAAGAGTTATTGCCCCTTAAATGTATTGTTTCAGCAATTTTCAGTTTTTGGTTTTATTTCAACTAAAAGAAAAAAAGAACATTAGAATAATCATCAAAAGCATTCATGATCCTCTTAATATACTTTATTCATAAGGCAGCCAAAATGCATTGACTTTAAAATTTGGCTTTACACAGTATATACAGACATTGATAATGTGTTTCTGTAGATATTGTTATATCTTTGATGTCATGAAAAAATCCAGTTCTTTCAATTTTAACATTATCCACTGAAATATTTTTTTATAAT